GTAAGTCTCTAAGGGATTTTGGAAGCGAGGACTCCAGGACCTTGAGGGGCTAGCTGTTGTCTGGGGAAAAGGTTATTCATTACCAATAATAAAAATCTTCTTGTGAGACCCTTTAGATGTATATCAGTGGGTCATTTGCTTGGAAATGATCGCTGACACTATCTTGGAGGTTTGGAGGTAAAGTTTCACATTTCTCCTATCAAGTGTCCTTGTTAGTGAGATTTAGGCCCCAGAGTGAATTGGAGATAGATGTGTCCAGCTGGTGGGAGCTAAGCAAGAGTCCTGGTCCAGAGGCACTTGACTGTAACATGGCACAGAAATGGGAGAGCGTGTGCTGTGGATGATGGCAGGAGGCATCAGGGAACAAAAATTATGCTCAAACTTTCTCCCATCCCTTCTTAATGCATCTCCCTACAACTTGTATATCTGACATAGGGTGCTAAAAACAACTCATCATTAAAAATTTTCTTCTTTATTTGAAAGCTCCCAGTAGCAGCCACATTTTCTTAGAGTGTTGACTAAGCTTGGACCGAGTGAAGAAATTTGTTGCTTAGTCTTCAAGGAAAAGTATCCCAAGGGCCCTATCTCTACACCTCACTGATTTCATTCATTTCTTGAGCAAAATGTTCATTGATGGCTACACCATGCCAAGGGCTGTGCTTGATGCTTGAACTCAAACAAGAGTAAGACATGGTCTACTTTTTAAGGAGATTACACTCTTCTGGGGAAATATGCTACAAGAGGCCTGAAGAATGAGCAGAATAATCTGCCATTTGGTTTGTATATCCATGGTCCTACACAGTGCCACAAACATACTGGCTTCTTCTCGAGCTGTGGTTTACCTCAAGATGACACTTTTATGTTAACAGATTTATGTGGGCAAGTTATATAAAGTGCCGTATGTGAAGCTATAGTTTTCTTTGGTAATGTTGCTGTCTTCTAGAATTGTCCTCTTGATTTGACTTGCAGGTCTTTAAAATCTCCTTCAGAATCACATGTGTACACCATCTAACAGAACACTAAGTAGTTCATATACATACACAGTTCATGATGTCACCCTGAGGACAATGCAGAAAGTAGGTATTATTATCTCCATTTTATGGATGAAGAAAGTAAATCTCAGAGAGTTTCAAGTAGTCCATAGTTAGCATAAATATACTTACCTATATAATTACCTAAAATGACCCAGCTATCAAATTGAGGAGCCCAGGATTGAGTCCTGCTCTGTTTGACTGCAAATATCATGTTCTTAACCACTATTCTTCCTTTTGGTTTGATTATGGCTACATATACCACACATATACAATAGGTGTTAGATTTTCCAGGATTGTTATGATTAGAAATAAATTAACGGTGGGGTGCCTGGAAGGCTCAGTTGGTTACTGTCTGACTCTAGATTTCAGCTCAGGTCATGATCTCAGGGTCATGACATCCAGCCCCTGCATGGGACTTTGCGCTCAGCATTGAGTCTGCTTATTCCTCTCCCTACCCTACTTGCACTCTCTCTCTCTTTCAAATAAATAAATAATAAATACATCTTAAAAATGAATAAATTGATGACTCCACTCTAAGCCTTCAAAATTGCTTTGAATTTTTTGTATTTGTTGGTTTTTAGAAAACATGGTTCATCTTATCAATGTCTTTATGTATCATATACACCTTGAATAGGTATATGTAATATAAATATATACTACATAATTATATTTATAGTCAGATATTCTTTTTTTTTAAAGATTTTTATTTATTTATTTGACAGCGAGAAAGAGAGATCACAAGTAGGCAGAGAGAGAGGGGAAGCAGGATCCCCACCGAGCAGAGAGCCCAATGTGGGACTCGATCCCAGGACCCTGAGATCATGACCTGAGCTAAAGGCAGAAGCTTAACCCACTGAGCCACCCCTATAGTCAGATATTCTTGTGAATAAGACTGGAAAAAAGTTCATATGTGTATCTTGTTTAATTACTACTTTGTTTTAGAATGAATTTGGTGGATATGCACATACATACATACATATACATAGGTAACCATTTACTTGTCCATCTTTATATTACTCATTTGGGATTATATTAGATATTTTCCTTTGTTTATAACATGGTCATTTTTCTCTGTCTTTAAATACACTTTGAAGACATCATTTTCACAGTTGCCTGGTAATCCATAATTTGGATATACCATGATTAATTTAAGCATTCCTCTATAATGGACTTAGGATCATTTCTATTTTTTTAAAGTTTTATTTATTTAAGTAACCTCTCCACCCAATGTGGGACTCGAACTCTCAACCTGGAGATCAAGAGTCACATGCTCTTCTGACCGAGCCAGACTCATTTCCTAGTTTTAGATAGTTTCTGAATTTACTGTATCATAATACTGCAATGAATTTCTTTGTATTTACATCTCTATAGATATCTATTATTGCTTCCTTGGGTTGAGTTTCTAAAAGTGAAATTATTGAATGAAAAGGTTTGCTCTATTTTTAAGGTTTCTAGGATATAATTTCAGTTTCTATATTTAGCCAACTTATACTTGGGTAATATCATCCTTGATCAATAATTTTTCCTTCCTATGATTTTGTTCCTCAGAAAAAAGCAACTACATGTAATATGGTCTTTAGAATCTTTTCCAGAAGATCGCATTCTTTCATGATGACTTAAAATACTAATCTTACAGCAACATTAGAGCAAGTATTTCAATGCCCAAGGACTTCAGGGTCCCCTGGGACAGTTTCTCTGAAAGATTCATTGTTCTTCACTTGCAGCTGGACAGCTAGTGACATTTGCTTCTTAGAGTCTTGGCCGAATTTGAATCAAATGGGCATGAAGAGGTTCATTTCACAAGTTGTGTTATGGTACTTTCTGTGGAATTGTAGGAAGATCACCCAGGAGCCCCAAGGTCGAGCTGCAGCTCTGAGCTTTAGTATCTCATTTACAGAATGAAAGCTTTCGGCTTGATAATTTCTAAAGCCCTTTATTTCTGGCAATATATGATGTCCTAGGTGATTCCTCCTTCCTCCTTTTCCTGGACACCTGTCTCATCCTTCAAGATATTTCTGTTCGCATGATTTTTTCCTTAGGTCATCTTCCTGAGAGAAGAGGGCTGAAGTGCTATACAAGATGTTTGTGCTTCATGAACCCCAAAAGCTGCAGATTCTGTATGAATCCCTGGAAAAGAGCATCCCTGAGTCCTTGAAGGTGAGAGAGTTGGGAGAAACCTGGGAGAGAGAAGTAAAGTGTGGGAGTATAAATTCAGGGTTCAGAACCTGCCCAGGGCAGATTAAAATACAAATCTAAAGTCAGATTCCCTCTGCAGGGATGGTCTTAATACCCGTATCAGGCATCTACTTTTCTTCTTCTTCTTCCTCTTCCTCATCCCCTTCTCCCCTTCCTCTTCTTCTTCCTTGTCTCCCTCCTCTCTTCTTCTTCTTCTTCCTCCCCCCCTTCTCCTCCTCCTCCTCCTTCTTCTTCTCCCCTTCTCCTCCTCCTTCTTCCTCCTGGTCCTTGGCCTCCGCCTCTTCCTCCTCCACCTTTGGCCTCTTAAAACTTGTTCAAATCCATTTTACTGCTATCTCTAGTAGATTTCCTTATCTGCTCCGGGCTATTGCAATACCCGCTTTTCTGCAGTATTACTAACTCACCTACAGATGGTGATCAGAGTCATCTATCTGACACAAATATGATCATACCTCTCCCTTGTTTTAAACTTTCAGTTCAAGGCATAAAGTCTACACCCCTTAATTGTGAGGTTGATCACAAAATGTCCCAGCCTCTCCACTTCATCTTGCAACACATCCCTGCTACATACCACAAAGTACAATCACTAAGCCTCTCAGAGCTCTGCAGGTATGACACAATCTGCCACACCTTCAGGTACTCAAGCATGCTTTTTCTCTCACCAGAAATTACTTGCCTTCCTTCTTTGTTTTGCCAGGAAAAGACTTAACTTGTCCCTGAAGACCAGATTCAAATATTACTTCTTCTGTAAGTCTCCCAACACTCCCTGACAGGTAATGCTTTTCTTCCTTGAGACCCCACACAGCCATGTGCATGCATCTATCAGAACATGTGCCCTATTAAGATCAGACTGTGTACCTCTCCATCCTGCTAGACTTCTTTTTTAAAAAATATATTTATTTATTTATTTGACAGACAGAGATCACAAGTAGGCAGAGAGGCAGGCAGAGAGAGAGAGATGGGGAAGCAGGCTCCCTGGCAAGCAGAGATCTCAGGACCCTGGGATCATGACCTGAGCTAAAGGCAGAAGCTTAACCCACTGAGCCACCCAGGTGCTCCATCCTGCTCCATCCTACTTGAATGCAGTGGCCATGTCATACTTATCTTGGAATTCTCCACACTTGACACAAATCTGACACACAATATGTGCCCCCAAAATGGTATAGTATGAAGTGGGAAAAAAAAAAGGAATGAATTTTCAGAAAAATAAGTGAATGAATGTCAGGGGAGCCAGTTCCTCTTGAATCAGCTATTTCCTTAGATTTTGTGGACCCTTCCTGTTTTTTTTTTTTTCCCCAGCATACCCTCCAATGGGTAGTTTGGGGAACCATCCTGAAATCGCTAGCTTGATCCCCTCAAGTGCTCCTAACTCTTGGTTTATTTCCCAAACTACTTCTAAGACCCTATCTCAAAGGAAAATGTCATTTTCACCTGTTCATCTGTTGCTTTTTTAGGCATATGGTGCCATTTTCAACATTAAAAATAAAACCCCATTCAACATGGAGATGCTGGTGGATGCCTGGCCAGATTATCAGACGGTAATTACTCGGCATTGGAAAGAGGTAAGAGTACCAGCTACTGAGTACCAAGCCAGTCACAATCAGGATGGTCTCCGTGTGGAAATGAGGGAACTGAATCTGGGGGCTGCGGAGAAGAACCTTGGCACCCCTGACCCATATAGATTTTGGAAGGGCTGCTTGGAGAGAAGGGGAGGATAGTGAAATAAGTCATGGGTATAAACCAAATAGCCAATAATCCAGGGCTTGTAAATAACATCGGGATCCCATCTGGTCAATTTTTTTTCCATTGAGATTCTTGTAACAGGCATATACCTCAAGATAGATGTTTGTGGCTGGAGAGAATTAGGAAATGTTTTGCTTTCCCTGGGACTAAAGCACTATAATACAATAATATCTGAATCAATGTTGGGTTTCAGATCTAAATCTGCCAAGTGACTAGTTGTGTGATGTTAGACGACTGTGGCTTTCTTAGCTATAAAAGCAAAGTTGATAAAAACTACTGTGTCAGAGCACTGTTAAACATGATATAAGTCATGTACAGTTGACCCTTGAACAACACAGATGTTAGGGATACCAACTCCCGCACAGTCAAAAATCTGTATAGAACTCCTGAGTCTTCAAAAACTCAACAACTAGTAGCCTACTGTTGACCAGAGCCTTCCCAATAACATAAGCAGTCTATTAACACATATTTTATATGCTCTGGTATTGTATACCAGATTCTTACAATAAAGTAAGCTAGAGAAAATAAAATGTTATTGAAATCCTAAGGGAAAATACATTTACAGCATTATATTGTATTTATTTTTTAAAATTTGCTTGAAAGTGGACCTGCACCATTCAAACTAGTGTTATTCAAGAGCCAACTGTGTGGGGTGCCTGGGTGGCTCAGTTGTTGGGTGTCGGCCTTCAGCTCAGGTCATGATTTCAGGGTCTGGGATAGAGTCCCATGTGGGGAATCCCGCCTCAGTGGGGAGTCTGCTTCTCACTTTACCCCTCCTGTGCACATGCACACACATAATCTCTCTCTCTCTCTCTCTCAGATAAACAAATAAAATCTAAAAAAAAAAAGAAGAAGAAGAAGAAAAGAAAAAAGAGGCAACTGTGTATTTAAAGAAAATATCTTTCCCATCTTACAGATTTGGGGGGTATAAGTAGCAAATCTCTTCCACCCCAGAGTAGGGATATTTTAACCCCTCTTCCCACACTTCTCCATTTACATAGTTATCAGGAAAATTAGAGCACAACTCACCTGTAACAACCTCTAAGGGAGTGTTAGCTGCAGAAGGTAAGCAGGAATGAGGGGCCTGGGAGACAGGCCCTTCCCTCCAGCGTGACTGTTCTTCCTGAAAGTCCTCTCTATTCACATGCTCATCAAGAGCCAATCACCATGCCAGCACCAGAGTGCTGAGTCCGAATTAGCCTGGGCATGGTCTCTTCACAGACTTCAAGTCCTGATACCCACTCTGTTCCCTACTCTCCACAAGGTAGGCACTCTCTCTTTAAAACCCTTAACACGAAAAACAATCTGAGGGTTTTGAAGGGGGGGGAGGTTGGGGGAACCAGGTGGTGGGTATTAAAGAGGGCACGGATTGCATGGAGCACTGGGTGTGGTGCAAAAACAATGAATACTGTTACCCTGAAAAGAAATTAAAAAAAAACAAAAACCCTTAACACGCCCTATTTCTGGGGCAACTTCCATCTCAGACAATGGAGCTGCTTCCCACCTTACCAACAGCTGCCTCAAAACACCACCTTCGGTCTGTCCCTAGTGATTATTGTTCAAGGGACTCCAAGACCATTTTCTGTCTGCACCTCTGGGAAAAACACAGGATATTTTTTCAAAAAATATGTGTTTATTTATTTATTTGTCAGAGAGAAAGAGAGCACACGCAGGAGGAGAAGCAGGCAAAGGGAGAAGCAGGGTCCCCTCTGAGCAAGGAGACTGATGTGGGACTCAATCCCAGGACCCCAGGACTGTGACCTGAGCTGAAGGCAGACACTTAACCGACTGAGCCACACTTAACCAACTGAGCCACCCAGGCATCCCCCAAACAGAGGGTATTAAACAACTGAGCCTCTCGCACTCCAGACATATGCAAGAACAATTTGTAAATCATACTGTCATATGATTAATATTTGTTGTATCAGGAGATGACCTGGATCATTATACCAACACTTACCACATCTTCACCGAAGCTCCTGACAAGTTAGAGGAAGTCCTGGCATGCCCCCAGGTTATCAGTTGGGAACAAACTTTCCAGATCCAAGGTAACTGATCCAAGTTAAAAGGCAAAGACCCTTGGTTCTTTCACATTAGATGTGGAAGGGGATAGACACTGCCCGTTTTTCTCCTCTCTCCAGGTTGCCAAGTGAATGTGGGGGAGGTATTAAGAAAGATTTCAGCTGCAAAATCAGCGCAGGTAGATCACTTGAAGACCACACTCATTATGACAGAAATACCAGTGGAACCCAAGACATCAAGTGATGACCAGATGGCTTTGGTGGAGTCATTTAGCATGCCCAAAGTGGATGAAGATAGCAAGTGAGATTTTTTGTGTTGCTTCCCAAATTCCTAATAACAAATCATTCAGTTGTCATAAGGACCACACTCAGAAATGCACAGTTTGACAATAAACTATGCAGTACACACTTGTAGGGGTAACGGAAGGGAACTCTATTAGCAGAAGTTTGCTGAGCTGGGGCAGGGTCTTCATTAGATGAGGTCCTTTCCATGTATAACTCACTTAGTTCTCATACAAGTCCCCCTGGGAGGGTCCTGGACATCATGGTGACATTAGAGAGTCTTTACTGAAATTACGTATATTTCTTGCAAAAATATTACATGCTCTACAAACTATACTAGTATTCAAAGTAAAAAGTGAAAGGTTTGCTCACTTGGATTCCCCACAATCTTCCTGTCCAGGTATAAATATTCTTTTTAAAAATTTTTAAATTTACATTAAAGTTAGTTAACATACCGTGTATTTTTTTAGTTTCAGGGTAGATTTTGGGATTCATCCATTGCATATAACACCCAGTGCTCATTACATCAAGTGCCCTTCTTAACGCCCATCACCCAATTGCTCCCCTCCTGCAACCCTCAGTTTGCCCTTATAGTTAAAAGAGTCTCATAGTTTGCCTCCCTCTCTGTTTTAATCTCATTTTATTTTTCCTTCCCTTTCCCTATGTTCATCTGTTTTCTTTTTTAAATTACACATGAGTGAAATCATATGATAATTATCTTTCTCTGACTTCTTTTGCTTAGCATTATACTCTCTAGTTCCATCCACAACCTTGCAAATGGCAAGATTTCATTCTTTTTGATGGTGGTGTAGGTGTAAATATTCTTAAAAATTGGTGTGTGTGCTTTTAGTACTCTGCATGTATGAATTGGTTTTGTTTTCTTGTTCTTTTTTTTTTAACAACATATGCAGATACTGTACTGCAGTTTTTTTTTTCCCTCAGCAGTATGCTATGTAAACCTTTCATGTATGCTCATAGAGATATGTTTCATTCATTTTGGCAGTTGCACAGATTTCTATAAGTGGGAGAAGCACAGTTATGTATTCCCATTTTAGCACACTTTCAATTTATCTCCAATTCTTCCTAGTAACAAAAATTCTACAAGAAATATCTTCATAAACAGATCATTGCCCAAATTGTATAACTATTTCTGAAAGATGAGTCCTGGAATTGAAATAGTTAGGTAAAAGAATATGTATATTATAGAAGATATTCCCAAATTGGATTTTAAGATTTAGATGAATTCAATATGTGAGAGCATAACATATGAAATGACAAATGTGTCCTTCAGTAGCAACACAGGTCGATTTGTTATGGTATAATCCACACATTGGAATAATAAGCAGCCATTAACAAGAAGGAAGCAGCTCTATATGAACTATATGGGAAGAATTTCAAAATGTATGGCTAGGTGAAAAGCAACAACAAATAAAATTGAGTAACATATATAGTATGCTATCATAACATGTAAACATCTAAAATTACAGAGCGCTACTGGAAGGTTACATAACTAAGTGGCATCACTGGCAGTCTTTAGAGAACGTTATAACTGGATAATAAGGGATCAAAGAAAAAATAAAGAATTCTCCATTAATATCTGAGTGACCTTGAAACTGACCAATTCTGGAAAACTCCTCCTCCCTGGGGATAGGTGAAACTTCTTAGGGCTCTTCCACCTGTCCCAACCTCCTCCACCCATAGATGATGTGGTTCTGATTCTGCAGATGAAAAGACTCAGTCTCAGATAATTTGTCCAGTGAGAGAATTAGGATTAAATTGTAACCATTACCATTGGAAATTCCAGTATTCTTTTTCCTATATTGGTGTTTCTTACATTGCATTTTTGGCACTTCTCTAGAGGCATGTGGTGATGGATGGGCTTTTGGACACATGAAATCATAAGATCAACACGTCTTTCACCTTCCTGTGATACATATTTTACTGAAATATCTGTTGAAAGGAATATTATCTTATGCACTTAGATATTTTGTGGGTAGAATTCAAAATTTGTGTGTTCCACACATGCATCCTCAAACAAAATTCAGGCAAACAAAATCAAAAACAAAAACAACTCTGGTCTATCTATATCCTTCCTCTTTTAAGACATATCTTATTTTCTTCTTTCTTCAGATACACGATTAGACTTTTTTGAGATGTATTATACTATGTGTATCATAAAGCACATACAGTTAGCTCCCTCTTAATTATTTGGCAACATTTTTGAAGCAGACAAAGAATTAGTAGTTTTTTTGCCCTTCTGTTTCTTCTTCTAGGCTGTGGGATCCTCAAGCAAAGGGTTGATGTCTTATTCTCTGCAATCCTGGTGTTTTGTAAATGTTGGCTGAATAAATGCACATTCTTTTGTTGACAGGAAAGGAAGATTTCAGAACATCTTCTTGGATGCTTCCCATGTGGGGCTTGTGAATGAGCAGTGGAACTTTGGAAAAAATGAAAGGAGCTTGCTGCCTCCAGAATTTTCCAGGATTTGGTGTGCTGGGTCCAGAGGGGGACCCTATTTCTTGGATTATGATGGAACAGTCTTGTGTGATGAGAATGGGTTACACTGTCCCCAAATACCGAGACAAAGGCTACATGAAGAAAATCTGTTTTCACTTCATAAAGTATTTTATTCAGAAAAAAATGCCATTTTATTTCCATGTGTCAAGAGATGAAGAAAACCTTCAGGCACTGAGAAGTATAGGGCTTAAGGTTGCTCCCTGTGGCTGGCATCAGTGGGAAATGCACTCCTAGAAAATATTATTGATTAGTGCCACTGTCCATTACAAGCCTTCCTTACCAGTGAAAAAAATACCAGTTCAAAAACAAACATTATAATTTATATTAGCAGAAAAAAATCCAATTATTTGGGCTCCATGCATTACTTAACCCACTCTTATATAATATTTTTGTCCTCCTCCATAATAGAGAAAAATGGAAACTTGAACTTTTGGTGTTATGTTTTGCCTTTATGTTGACAGACCTCTCAGAATTAAAATCAACCAATGTCAATCATTAGTGCCAAGATAAACCTTTCAAAGCAACATTTTACTCTTTGAAGTCTTCTTTCATGAGAGAATCCTGTTTTTCCATGCTTCTGTGCTTGAAAATAAAAAGACTGATTTGAAAAGTGTCTTCTCTGGTATCTTCCCCTCCCTCTGACAAAATTTTCCAAAGAACCTCTCAAGGCCCCACAGCCTTTGATTGAGAGGATCAAAATCCTCTCAAGAGTTTTGAGATACTCTACTGAATTAAGTTATGTGGTCATAAGTGAAATTTTTTTTTAAGTTTGTTTTTTTTATTAGCTTTTTTTTTAAGATTTATTTATTTGCAAGAGGCAGAGGCAGAGGAAAAGGGAGAGAGAAATTCAAGCAGACTCTGCACTGAGTGTGGAACCCAAAGTGGGGCTCTGAGATCATGACCTCCAACCAAGAGTTGGATGCTTAACCAACTGCACCACCCAGGGACCCCCAATAAGTAATTTCTTTACTTACAGTTAAAAACTCTGATTCTAAAAGTCAAATCTTAACAATAGCTTTCTCTTCTTGTTGGTGCTTGTGAAAGGGGAAGGAAAGAAAAGAGGTATTTTTTATAGAGGTCCATCTACCTTCCTGTGCTTAGCCAGCTGATTTCACAGTCCAGACAGAGGTGCTGAGTAATGGAAGGAACTGTAAGACCAGAGAACACCTGAGCCTTCCGGGAAAAGAGCCTCAGAGGTCAAGCTGCCAACATGTCAATATTTTGGAGCCTCTCTGAATGTGGGATCCTGAGGGAGGGACTGACTTTCATACCCTGCTGCCAAAAGTTTGTGCTGATGGTGCCTTTCATCTTCTAGAAGGACCGGCACCCTTTTGTCTTTACTTGGGGATCTCTGCAGATAGACAGAAGAAGATTGACAGCTTTGCAGGTTTGAGAACAAGGGAGAATCATTGCTCTGGGACCCCTCATCTCCTTTTGCTTTCCCCACTGTAAGAGAATGAATCAAAATGCTACTGTTGGATGTGGGTAAGAATTTCTGAACTCGTTTGGGTTGAGAATTATGCTGGGCTAAAAAGGTCTTCCATTTCAGAAACCTCTATCAGGCACCCACTGTGTATAGGGCAATACCCTTTTCTGTGAGAAATTCTTTTTTTTTTTTTTTAAGATTTTATTTATTTGTCAGAGAGAGAGGGAGAGAGAGCGAGCACAGGCAGACAGAATGGCAGGCAGAGGCAGAGGGAGAAGCAGGCTCCCTGCAGAGCAAGGAGCCCGATGCGGGACTCGATCCCAGGACGCTGGGATCATGACCTGAGCCGAAGGCAGCTGCTTAACCAACTGAGCCACCCAGGCGTCCCTCTGTGAGAAATTCTTGACAGGACAAAGCCAGGCTCTTGTTCTGAACTGATAAAGAAATGCAAGGAGATTTGAGAGTCAGCTGTTGGTAGAGGAGAGACACTCAAACAGCCTCTAGAAGGAATATGCTGGTTTGGGTGACAGAAAACACAATTTACAGACATACTATGTAAACATTATCTTATTCCATCCTCTACTAACATTCTAAGGTAGTCAGATTTTCTCCCTTGGATAAATGATGACCAGGGAAATTAAGTGTCCTGCTCGAAGTTGCAAAAGGATGAGGTAGATTCTAGTAAGAGGACCACAGAACAGATGAAATTAAGTGTAAATTTAAAGCCATAAAATTTTAATTTAAAAAAATCTTAACTGTAACACTCCTATGATATTATTTGGTGTTTCCTTTTATATTTTCATATTTTTAAAAATTTTATTTAGATTAAATTAATTAACATATAGTGTATTCTTAGTTTCAGAGGTAGAGTTTAGTAGTTTAGTGATCATCAGTTGCAAAAAACACCCAGTGCTCATTACATCATGTGCCCTCCTTAATGCCCATTATTCAGTTATCCCATCCCCCCCACCAACCTCCCCTCCAGCAATCCTGTTTGTTTCCTATAGTTAAGAGTCCCTTATGGTTGTCTTCCTCTCTGATCTTGTCTTGTTTTATTTTTCCCTCCCTTCCCTTATGATCCTCTGCTTTCTATTTTAAATTCCACATAGGAATGAAATCATCTAATGGTCTTTCTCTGATTGACTTATTTCACTTAGCATAATACCATCTAGTTCCATCCATATTGTTACAAATGGTAAGATTTTATTCTTTTTAATGGCTAATATTCCATTGTGTGTGTTGTATATAAAATACCTCATCTTCTTTATTTATTCATCTGTGAATAAATAAATATTTATTTATTTATCTGGGCTCTTTCCATAGTTTGGCTATTGTGGACATTGCTGCTGTCATACTTATGTGATTTATATAAATATGCATACAAAAGACTTTACATATCTGATTAGAATTTATGTATTGTCATTTTCCATCTTTTTTGTGTTTATCTTAAGACTCCATATACCAGCATATATATCATATCTTTCATGTTAATGGGTCTTAGATTTGTAAAATAATAATCGTTCATTATTTATGTAAACTGTCTGAGACTGTGTCTAGTACTTCTCCGTGAGTTAGTATTGCTTTACAAAATTGTTCATAGAGCATTTTTCATTTGAATTATTTTCTTTGGATAAATTCCAAATATTAGAATGGTTTCATCAAAGCTTTCAAAGTGTCCTGTATAGGGCTTTGTCCATTATCAATACAGGCAAATACCAAAATGTGCCAACTCCCTTGAATCTCCTGTCTCAGCCAAATGTATTTATTGAACATCATGTTTTTGTTTCTGTGTGTGTGTGTGTGTGTGCACATGTTGAAGCAATACATCAATGTTATGTCCCTGGTAATCTGGCATCAAATTCAACTTGGCTTCTTATTGTCATGTGACCTTTTTACGAGATGCTCCTAGCTAATGTCAGATTAATCTTCAGAAATACTGTACTTCTACTGTCTTGATACCATTCAAGATATGGCACAGCTGCCTCTATTCTGGTCTGAGGTCTTTTTCAAGTCCCCATACCCAGCACGCAGTAGGCTTTCTAGAGGTACTTGTGGAATGAATGAGTCTTTGTCCTTGGTAAGTGGAGTGGCTAAATAGATGGTTATGTTGGTATAAATACTTCATAATTTATTGAGTCTTTACTTTGTGTCAGATGGTGTAAAATACTGTGGAAACAGTATGTGGGTTCCTCAAAAAATTAAAACTAGAACTATCTTATGATCCAGCAAACCCACTTCTGGGTGTGTGTGTGTGTGTGTGTATATGTTATATTTCATATATAGGTTATGTTTCATTACCTTCATATCTATGTATATCTATATCTATATCTATATCTATATCTATATCTATATATATAGATGCATATATGTTATATCTATATGTCTATATAGATATAAAGGTTCACCAAGTTCGCCAGAGGTTTCCGGCCACTTCTCACGAGCTTTCTACCCAAATCGATATCAGTTTGGGTAGAAAGTTCGGGAGAATTGGCATGCATTGTCTAGGGATTTGGGCCGCGTGCTTGCTTGGCATTTGGAGATATATATTTATTTTTTCATATATATATATATATATATATATATATATATATATATATATATGGAAATCACAATCTCAAAGAGATATCTGGTGATGCCTTCGTAGTTCAGTCAGTTAAGCATCTGCCTTCCACTCAGGTCATGATCCCAGAGTTCTAGGACTGAGTCCCACATGGGGCTCCTTGCTCAGCACAGAGCCTGCTTCTCCCTTTGCCTGCCACTCCCTCCCCCTCCTTGTGCTCAGTCTCTCTGACAAATAAATAGAATCTTAAAAAAAAAAGAGATATCTGTATCTACATGTTTACTGCAGCATTATAGACAGTAACTAAGACATGGAAACAGCCTAAGTGTCCACAAATGGATGAATGGATACAGAAGTTGTGGTATACATACACAGTAGAATATTATCTAGTCATAACAAAGAAGGAAATCTTGCCATTTGTGACAACATGAATGGACCCTGAGGACATCACACCAAGTTAAATAGGCCAGAGAAAGACAAATACTGTATGACCTCACTTTTGTAGGGAATCTAAATAAGCCAAACTGAAAGGAACAGAGAGTAGAATAGTGGTTGCCAGGGACTGGGAGTTTGAGGTAATGGGGAAATGTTGGTCAAATGGTACAAACTTCCCATTATAAGGTAAATAAATTCTGGGGGATCTAATGTACAGCATGGTGATGATAATTAATAATATGATACTTGAAAGTTGCTAAGAGAGTAGATCTTAAATGTTCTCATAACAAAAAAAGAGATAATTATGTGATGGGATGGAGGTGTTAACTAACATTATTGTGCCAACCATTTCCCCCAACCATGGGGGAAATAAAGAAAAAAAATAATACAACCATTGCCTTAGTGGTTCTGGTCAAGATTCTCCCCTTAAATCATGAAAGGAATTCAAGGTTAAGTGCAGGGACTGCTTCACTGGCAAGAACCAAATAACTGACAAGAACCTGGGGAAAAGGGAGCACATATGAAAAAATCAAAACAGGGCATCTGGGTGGCTCAGTTGGTTAAGCAACTGCCTTCAGCTCAGGTGATGGTCCCAGAGTCCTGGGATGGAGTCCTACATCGGGCTCCCAGCTCCATGAGGAGTCTGCTTCTCCCTCTGACCTCCCCTCTCATGCTCTCTCTCACTCTGTATGTCCTGTAGAGGGCAGGTTCCTTCATTAGGGGGTTAAACACCCTGGTTCCTATGACAGAGAAGCTGAAGCCAAACCTAGGGGACGTTGAAGCACTTTGCCAGCCCAGCAAGGCCTCATGTCATGGAGTTAGCAAC